ACGTACTGAACAGTGAAAATTTTAGTATTTTGGGTGTTTATGTATTCAATCTAGGGGTATAATGTTAACTTATTCTAGTTTTTCCAAAAGTTGATTCCAAGTAAATGTCTCCAACAAAATGTGGGGAAGCACTTTTAAATTATTTATATTATGTATGGCCTTTTGATATTTGTCTCTTAAATATCTAATATTTCAAAAATGCATAAATGTGGGGAAGCGCTTCTAAACTAGTCTCTTAAATATTTAATATTTTGAAAATAGTCCCTCAAATTATTGAAGTTGATGTTAGATTGGCCAATTTTTATATCTTGTAGACTTGTAGTGCTACACTTTATAGGAGGATATAACTTAAAGCAACTTCAAAGAATTGAGGGACCTAATAGCAATGTTAATGATTTAATTGACTAAATTTTAACAACTTACAATAGTTGGGGGACCTATGACCAATTTGAATGAATGAAGGGACCTATTCGTAAAATATTACATATATTGGAAGGACTAATAATTGAAAAAATACTAGTATATTACAATTTAAAATGCATAAATAAAGCACAAAAGTTACATTTGTGATTTCAAAGAATACATATGAGCACGTCAATTATTATTAAATTCTGTTTGTGATTTTGGGAAGTATATATAAGCACTTTGTTGTTTTAAGTGTGAAGGGCCAGAATCATTGTGTATTTGAGAGCGTTTAAATTGTGTTTTTTTAAACTTACTGGGATAGTTGAATTGAGTTATACCAGTGTCTCTGTATCCTTAAATTTACAGAGGACAAACTCCTTGGAATCAACAAAATGAAACATGATTTCATGGATACCAAGGTTGACTTAATATGCTCATTCCTAACACTAAGCCTCCAGACGAATAGTCCTGGACTTGTCTCTGTGTTGATGTGATCAAGGTATGCGTGCATTGATATGATTGAGGCATGTATTATTTGAGTATTAGCTAATACTGGACTCGCTTCGTTTCCTATGTGCTACCATAAAGGGCCACATTAAGTTCTTACCCTTTTGTACAGAGTTAGGAATAGACATTAAGCATGTAAGAATGATATTTTAATCATGCATGTTCTTTTCCGCTAACGTTCCTTAATTGAACTGAGGGAATGAGTTATATGGTAGTTGTTTATAGAGAAACTTGAGAAGCTAAAGGATTTTTATCTAATGGCAGTTGGATAATATATGATATATGAAAATGACTAGGGAGAACCTTGCGCACTGTACGGGAGGTTCTGATAGGATCTGAGCTCTATGAAAACCCAACTTGAGCAGATTTTATGAGAAGAAATAACAAGTAGTTCAAATTGATGGTCTTGAAATACCTTATAGAATCTGCTTTTCATTACAGAACCAAAAGATTGGATATCATAACGGTATAGGTCAAAATCCAATAGATCATGAACAAATTTTGTGTCTATCGTTTTACCTAAAGAGCGCTGCAAATTTGTCTTGAGATCTAACTGACAGAACTTTCATTTTTAAACTATATGTACTTCACATGGCCACTGTAATGCAATAAAATCTACTGGTGTTTCTCTATACATTTATTGAAGTTTTTTCGCTGAATGCAACTGCAGTTGGGCATATTTCTTTTAGTATGCCTTGTCCTAGCCGGAGCTTGGTTTGGTTATTGGGGTGTTCGCAAACTTGTTCTGACTGATGATGGATTGGTGGATTCTGAAGTGTCTTATTTTGTGGAATGGGCAATTTTGATTTTTGCTGCTGTTATGATTCTTCAGGTAATCATTGACCATCACTAAATTCTTCTAAGTTCATCGATATAGATATAGTGTTGTCTGACTATATTGGTGAAAATATTTTCTGGCTTTTGTAATTAGTTTCATTTTGTTAGAGTTCTCTGGATACTCTGCTGGCAGCAGAAGCTTTGATTTTTGCTATTGTGACAACAGCAGTAGCACGGATACATGGGAAATGGAGGTTTTTTCGGCGCCTCTTCAAGTAAGTTGCCCTCGGAGCTTCTTTTCTTAAATCATGGAGAATTATTAGCTCTAGGGCCATACATTAAAGCCATGTTAATCCATGTTTATCTTATATTTTATAAAGTAAGAGATGACTACGCACCGTCCAAGGGTGCGAGCTGCCACACTTTATTTGCTTTCATCTCCTCAAGAAGCATCAGATTTTGGAGAATTCATCTGTTCTGTTTTCCACAATAAATATAGCTGTTTTAGAAAAGTAACTTCTCATAGTCAATCTTGCATATCTTTTTGCTTGTATATTCCAAAGTAGTTTCTTTGTTTCACCAGAAAGCCCAAGGCACAATCTTGGTTGTAAAAATCAGACAGTTCTATATTCTCTGCTTCTTCTTTCACTAATAATAAAGTATACGTTTAAGTGACTTTTATTTCAAATGTAACTGAGTCATTCCAAGGTGATTTTATAACCTTGTGATTTTTCACACAAGACAGGCTCTGTCATTTATAGATAACCGCAACTGCTGTTGTTCTTGCAAGTTACTTTTTTTAATGCGCTTATTGTATTCTCCCACTTGAATTTGGGGGAAAAAAGCTACAGCTGCAGTGAAACGAACCGCTAGAACTGAAATTGTGGTTGCCTTCTGTAACTAAATTTGCAATGTGGTACAAGTTTGTACGTCTTAAAGTCGACTACTTGGTCATCAACATCCATTGCAGACAGTTCAGTTGGATGCCAAGCATACTTTTAGAGAACTTTTGCACAAAAAAACTTCCAAACTCTCCTCACCATATTTGTCTCTTGAAAGAGTTTGGATGTTAAGATGCAAAGTTGTGTGGTTTGTAACAGATTTCTTTCATATTAAGAGCTATTTTGAGTTTTGGCTTGGACCTTTAGCAAGCTTCTCCACTTAGGGATTTACTGTTTAGTTTGAAAAATTTCAAGTATTCTGCTTAAGTGACGGAATTCATGTTTTTTGCTGGATCTTAATTGCTTAAAAGCACCTTGGTGGTTGGTAATTACATATGAAATTAAAATCCAAGCAAGCATGTGATATCAATTGCATCAAAGTACCCAAATGATGAGCTCAAAGTCATAAATTTGGAATCAGATCTATCCTCATTCCAAAGCTTCCATATGTAGGTCTTCAGAGTTCAGCTTTATCTTTTCAATCAGAATAAAAATTCTTGTAAAGATAATATCCATATGTAGGTCTTCAGAGTTCAGCTTTATCTTTTCAATCAGAATAAAAATTCTTGTAAAGATAATATCCGTCTGTAAATACAAATTATCTTAAGCTGTGAAGAATTACTCATGGGTGCTCAAGGTTAGACTCGTCACTGACCTGATGCCAGAACCTTTTTGAGATTTATACCTTTTTCAACTGAATCAATAGGTGAGTTTTTGGAAGGATGAAGGGTTTGATGCCCAATTCGTATTACATCCTCAAGTTCAGCTGATAATGAATTTATACACAGCGTTCTCAGTTTAATGTCAAAGTTGGATCATCTATAGCTTATTGTAGTTAGGGGTCTCCTTTAAGCAACAGTATTCTGATATTGTGACTGTATTCTTATAGAAAGGGTTATGTTAGCGTATAATATTATTAACTTCGTCACTCACCATGACTTTTTGTCGTTTTGGTGCAATGTTAAGGATTTTTGACTAGGTATGGGAAAGCCGGTTTCAAATCCCTCTACTCACGAATTAAAGTGGGTAGAAAAAGATATCATTATGTGAGTCCCAAATTTCGGCCTATGAAAACAGCGGTCAACCTTCAAGGGCATGTTAGAGTATAAAATTATTACCCACTGGCCATGAATTAAAGCGGATAGAAAAGATATTATTATCTGAGATTCAAGTTTCAGTCAGTGAAAAGGGCGCTCAACTTGCGGGAGCATGTTATAGTATCAAATTGTAGCCCTCTGATGCAAAACTATTTGAAGATCAAATGAAAATTTGGTTGAATAGTCCTCATTCGGTTGGAAAAACTAGTTAGGGTAAATAAAGTTGTTAGACTATTTTTAGATGTTGATTTCAAAATTTAAATTTAATTTAATCTTTTAAAATATTTGATTTTATTTGGTAAGTGGATTTTATCTAGTTTTGGATTTTAGATTGCGTTAGGATAAATTTTATTTTATTCTTTTGGAATTTCAAATTGTATGAGAGAGATTTCCCACTCTATTTAAAGAGTTTTGATTTCCATTGTTTTCAGCAAGAAAATTTTGAGAGAAAAAGTGAAGAAAATTTTGCATGTGATATGCTAGTCTAGTGGACATGCGATGTGTCAGGTGTGAAGCCATGAGGCTTAGGTGTTTTCTGTGAAACCGGCCTATCCACTTGCCAGTCCCTAACCATCACTACCAATGAGTAGTGTTGGTGTAGTGACAAAGATTTTTGACAGGTTGCTTCGCTATTAGGATGGAAATCCAGTGTTATTAGTTTGACTTCTTTGGATGTAAATATGGTATTGATCTTATTTCAGATGTTTTGCTTAGAAAAAGCCTTATTGGGATATCTGGTTTTTCTTTAATAAAATGTGTCCCTATAATATTTCTAAACTGGATTGGAATTTGTTGTATTTGATAATTTTGCATGAAATGAGAGGGTACGACCTTATGTGTTACTGTATTAATCTTCTCTTCCCCTGAAAGCTTCTCTTTCTCAGTTAGCTGCATTGGTTTTCTATTTGAAATGATAATGAATCGTGCTATGATAACTTGCAGGGGAACATGGAGGGGCGTTCATGCAATCCAAGATAGAACTTCACCCATGAGCTATTTTTCTGACTACCCATACCCTGTTCAGAAATCAGGATCTACGTTGCACAGGGCTCGAGCCAGAAGTTTAAAATCAACTTCATACAGTTTTCCTACTCAAGGTTCGTTTTTGTAATGGTGGTTAAATTAATACTCATCTTCCCTGTTTTATCTGGGAGTTACAGTTGATTCTTTGTTGCAGGTGTGAACAAGACCCCAGAAGTTCTATCTGAACCAGGGACTTACTATTCTACCTTTCACAAAACACCTGAGAGAAAGAGGTTCTCAAAAGAAGAGTGGGAGCAATTCACCAAGGAGAACACAAGAGAAGCTTTGAGGGAGCTTGTATCGTCACCCGATTTTAACAAGTGGGCTATGGATAATGCTGAGAGGATAACCTTGACACCGCCGAATGCGAACATTCGTCAGAGGAAGCAGCGTCGTTTCCTATGGTTTTAGGCTTCATGGTAAAGCAGCATCGTTTCCTATGGTTTTACGCTTCATGATATGCTTGCGCAAAGTCATTGAAGGAGTTTTTTCCCCAGGGCTACCGCGGAGTATCTGGTGCTTGTTGTAAACTTGTGTAACATGTCCACTTATTTACTTGGTAAAGATTGGCAAGATCCATTTTGATGAATGTTGAAAGCTTGGAAGATGTTTAAGTTACTTAGGTTAGGTCAGTGCGGAATATATTAATACCAGCCTATTTACGTTGTATGTAAGTGATTATGGAATATGTTAGTGTTAACTGATTTTAAATGGAGTCGTGGAAGATCTCAACACCAACTCACTTAAGAGTGAGAGTGTAGTATTAGGTGATTGACATGTGAGCTATATATTATCACTTCATCCGGCAGCTGTATGTCTCATGGTAAAATGCCTCCTAATAGAAATACAAAGCAAGTAGAAACTGTTTGAGCAAAAAAGTTCGATTGAAAGATGGACGGTACTAATACGTGATACTTGAAATCATTAGCAAGTCAATCTAAACACAACAATACATCGCACACGCTGAATAATATTGTTTAACATACTTTTCGGTAAATAACGATTAATATATTTTAACATACTTATCGGTAGCAAGGTGAATCAGAATATGAGCAAGAGAAATCCATAGGGCATACAACATTATTCAGCAGACCTAGGATTTAGATTCTAACCGAACGCAACAATACTCCATCGGTCATACTATCAAAATAGAGCTGATCATTGATTGCCGAACAAACACAGCTCTCAAAACTTAATCAAATATCACGAGCCAAACCAATATCAAATCCATATCATCATTCCAATCAAAACTGCAATCAATCAAATCACGAGCCAAACCAATATCAAATCCATATCATCATTCCAATCAAAACTGCAATCAATCAAAACTGTCACACGAAACCATCAACAATATCAAATCCATATCATCATTCCAATCAAAACTGCAATCAATCAAAACTGTCACACGAAACCATCAATATATAACTAGGAAAGAATGTCGATCATACAACCATTTCTTGAAATAGAAACCTCAACACAAAGATCAAGCGTTCCAGTTTGGGATAAATATAGAGAATAAATAGTTCTGAGGCACATAAGCATGGAGACCATTTAAGCGTGGAGACCACAGACTCCTCATCGTCATCACAAGCATGCCCAAACCAACCATAGACAAGGAAAAAATTCTCTGCAGGAAAAGTTACAGCAAATGAGAAAATGAATGAGACAGCAAGGCAAAAAAATGCTTTGCAAATTCAACAAAACTAAGTCACGGTGGAGCGGTTTCCTAAAACATACAGAGCTATAAACACCAGGTATTTGAAAGGAAATACGTACTGAAGATGCTCTTTTTAAAATAAGAAAGGATGAAATGCCTTAAAATAGTAGAGTAAAATAAATCACTAGAAGTAAAGAATGGTGTGCAATTTGAAACACCACTCAGTAACATAACTACTGCTGTGCCCAGCAAAGATAATTGCGAAGTCTTGCATCATAAGCAACAAGATAAGTGGCTCAAGGTATAAAATTATGAGGATATTTAAATAAGGTATTGCGCAACACCCTTAAATATTAATTAAGTGGCTCAAGGTATAAAATTATGAGGATATTTAAATAAGGTATTGCGCAACACCCTTAAATATTAATCATGTAAACAAGAAAAGCAATAAAAAACCATATTTAAATAAGGTATTGCGCAACACCCTTAAATATTAATCATGTAAACAAGAAAAGCAATAAAAAACCATACAGCATGAAAGCAAGATTCTGGATGCAATAAAACAATTATATGCAACAAGTTAAAACTTCATTTCCTTTTTTATTAATTGCATCAACTATTTAACATTTAACTGTAAAAGCATGCGCCATAGGCCGTAGGGAACTAAAAGAACACCTTTTAATACTACAAAGTTTAAGATGGTTTTGAAATTTAATAGGGAAGTTCAGCCATTGCAGAATACACATCGTGGATAGATTTGAATGCTAGAAGAAAAAAATAAATGCCCAATACATCATTTTATTCAACAGAACACAACTGCAATGAAATTTGAGATTGTAATAAAAACAAATACGAGGGTATATTAGATGTAATAAAAACAAATACGAAGAAATTAGTAACTGTGCTCCTACTGTGGATAAGGAAGGTGCATTCCTAAGGAATGTAAAGCAAAGTGATCCCTGAATAAAAACTATAAAATCAACAAATATATACAAATGCTATGTTCTAAAATCAAGATACTCACAGATTTTGTTGAACGCTACGATATCACAGCTCTGGATGTACGCATTTGCTGGCTCAACAGTGAGATGCTCCTCGATCAGGGTGTCCACGGACACAAGGTCATCCACAATGGTCATCATAATCTGCAACTTTTTGATGCCATAACCAACAGGAACAAGCTTGGCTGCATGTCCACCAAAGAACAATATTAAACACGCATAATGAAGTATTATAGGCTTGGAAATTGCCTTACTCTAAAGACCTTGAATATAAATTGCAAGTTGCATCTAAATATGAAATTAGTAGAAAGAGGATGGGCAAAATCATATATCATCACAATTTGTTTTGGGACAATAAGAATAATCTGGTCGCACTAATGATTATGAAACAAATCTTGTTTGACAAAACATCACATTTTCAGAAGTTATTAGATAAAGCCAAGAGTTCACTGAAAATATGACATGGGAAAAAACAGATAATTTCTACAGATGAGGATACCATGACATAAGAAAGGGCACCATGGCTTGAGAAGGTGAGTCATGAAATATCAAAAACAAAAACCTTGATTTTTGCAGATTATCTTTTGCAAGAATTAATCCAATAAAAAATAATGAAAGCCAAATATATTACCGTATACAACATTGCTCTAACCAATATAAACCCAGTAGGAACTCTACGAATATGAATACAAAATATTACTTAAAACTAACGAGCAAGGATCAAAAGCATCTATGATGTACCTTATCAGCAGCAGCAGGAGATAACGGGCCCTCTGCGGAGACACCACTGCATAACATTTCGCAAACAAAACTTTTAACTTTCAACTAGACACTAAGGTAAAAAAAAGTAATGTAATGAATTGGCAAGTTATGCACATACCACATTGATTCTTCATAAGATCATAACTTTCTCAAACCTATGGTTAGGTATGAAAGGGGAGTCTGCCAGAACCACAAGGCTACAGGAAAGGAGGAAGAAGAAAATGGCGCTTGAAATGGGAACCAGGATTGCTGCTGAAGTGGATGACAGAAGTTCTGGGGAGATAATTCTGCTGGAATGATCCATGTCAACAAATCTTTTTGGGATAGCTGCTTCTTAACAGCTAAACTTTTAGTAGTTCTTGTTTTGTTGTTATGTGATCATACAGCTATTTTTGGGTTTTTCTTTAACTGGTGGTTAGAGCTTGGGAAATCAGTTTCAGTGATATGTAGTTAATCCTGAACTTTGTTGCATATCCTAGGTTGGGGATATGTACATATTATGTAACAACCATTTTGTTATTTAGCTGGCTGGGATATCTGTTTGGTATCCCGTCCTTTTTCTCAAAAAAAAAAATGCACATACCACATCCTTACGAGGGCATCGATGTGCTTGTACCACCTACAAACATTTACATACTCATCCGATGGCACTGATGGGATGGCTGAGTAAACAGTAATATCATCCTTGGATGCTTGGTATCTGAAATGAAATATCACAAGAATGCCATAGAGTGCGCAAAAATCTGAAGCAATGCATTAATATATGGCAATTAAGAATACAAACCCAGAAATATAACTCCGGGTGAGGAGGTACTCGTCGAGCTTTTCTTAAGGCCAGACGCCGTGCTAGGAGAGTATAAGGTTACCGCCATTGCTATCGGTATCACGTGTGATCTCCTTTAAACCACAATAAAAAGATATTAATCGCTAGAGCTTCCAGCTTTTACAAACACAAAATAAGACCAGAAAATATTTCAAAGTCAGAAAATTTTGCAATTTGGAAGCTTTGATCCACTTCAAAATTCAGAAAATATGCCTATGAATCACAAAAGAAAAAGCTTTAACATCAACTCTACCATATTGATATTAAGTTGGGAAAAAAAAATTATACACACTTTAATAATTACTTAGAAATTATTAAATCCAATTTAAAAGCAATGAAAAGAAAACAGCTTCACAAGATTAAACCTTCAAAATAGCCAGGATGCTTTCTCCTACTTCCATAAAATCTCCTAAAGATCCAATCTTTTTTCACATAAACATATATTTTCAATCAAGGCAGAACACCATGATTAAGTAATAAAGCAGTTACCTAGATACAGAAACTAAAACCCTAGCAAGATATCAAAACCAAAGGGAACAAAAAAAAAAAAAAAATTCAGTCGGAATGGAACCTAGCGAGAGATCCAAAAGCGTAGAGAGAATTGAAAATACTTTTGGATCTAGAGAGATGATCGAGGGCGGAGGCAATCAAAGAGAGTGGTGGAGGATGATGAGCGAGCTTCTAGGGTTTTAAATAGAGCGAATTCAGTTTCTACTGATCGTAGGATCAGCATCTGACGGTTCTCAGCGAATTTGGGGTTGCTATTGGGTTTGAGGGTAGGAGTTCGGAGCCCAAACCCGAGAAGGGTTTCATTTGTTCTTCTTTGATGGAACAAAGAATCCCATAAAATAGCTAGGGGGTTTATTGGTTGGTGTAATTTTAGGGAAAGTAAGATAATTTTTAGGACTTTACTTTATAGTGTTATTTATTAGGATAATGAAATTGGGATTTTACTTTAATGTGTTATTCATTGGGACAATTACCCCCACTTTTTCTAAATTTATCCCACTTCTATACAAACTTTTTATCCCAACATCTAAAAATTACCACATTCTTAACTTTGGGATAATCATGAGGAAAGTGGGATAATTTTGAACCACTAATTTATAAAATATTTAATATATGTTAATTATATTATAATGTATAATATATCTTAATTATATTATATTATAAAATTCTATTATAACGCAAGATAATAAAATATTATATAATATTATCTAATATAACATTATTATGTATCATTATTACATATTGGTTAATAATATTTTATATATTATAATATTAGTATTATATTATTATAATATTACTTTATATTATTTAGTACATATTTTATTAGTTAGAATAAAAATATTATTGTAGTATTTTTATGATATAAATATTATTGTTATGGTGTTCACTCACCCAAATGCTGATATTTACAAAATGATACGATAAGAGCTCTAGTCAACTCTCAAGAATTCTAGGCCCAACGATTCCTCAGTCGAATTACGAGACATTGGTACCTCTTTAGGGTAAACCTAATGCACAACG